GCCTATCTGACATTTGCAAGTTTTTCCAATTAAGTTATCTTAATGTATTTAAGTCTTTAAATTTCATCCATTCTTCCTGGTACTCCTCCTCCTTCTGGTCGCGGACTCTTCCAGTCAGGTCGGCTAGCTCCGAAGCTTTGGTTGAGATTCCTGCATTGCAGGGGGTTGGACTAGATGACCCTCGGTGCCCCTTCCAACTCTACTCTTCTATGATCCTATTAAGAAAAACATACACACTCTGTTAGTATTTAGAGTGATTGATAATTAACTTGCATTAGCTAACACATATGTGTATTGCCAAACATTATTTTCGCTGGACCTCAAGGCTATGTTGTTCAGAAATGCCTTTGCGTCAATTGACCCCCTACTGAAGTCAGTGAAGTTCAATTTCACTAGCAGAATAATTGCAGTCTCTCTCCAGGGATTGAGATACTTGACAAGTGGGGGTCAAAAGGAAGTACGTGGAATGGCCGGATGAGTATTATTATTATTATTACAGGAAGAATAATAACAAAATGATGGAAATCCACTTGTTAAGGTTGTAATCCTGAACCTAACGACTTAACTGTATTTTACTATGCATAAGCGATGGGAAGACTAAGTTCATGATGGGAAAACTGTGCGAGTTTCTTAAGCTGAAATCAAATAACCTATTAACCCAAGTTCATGAACTCTGGAGCTCAGTGCCTGGGAGAAACAGCTATCCACACATTCTCCTGATATACTAAAAGGGCAGTTAAGAACTGGGCAGGCTCCCACTCGCTCTGGTAAGATTTGAAGAAAGGACGGAAAATAGGGTTAAACCACAGAGCCTAGGGCTTGCTGATCAGAAGGTTGGCGGTTCGAATCCCCGTGACAGGGTGAGCTCCCTTTGCTCGGTCCCTGCTCCTGCCAACCTAGCAGTTCAAAAGCACATCAAAGTGCAAGTAGATAAATAGGTACCGCTCTGGCGGGAAGGTAAACGGCGCTTCCGTGCGCTGCTCTGGTTCGCCAGAAGTGGCTTAGTCATGCTGGCCACATGACCCGGAAGCTGTACGCCAGCTCCCTCTGCCAATAAAGCGAGATGAGCGCCGCAACCCCAGAGTCATCTGCGACTGGACCTAATGGTCAGGGGTCCCTTTACCCTTTACCTTTAGTCACACCTGAAAAACAACGCAACATCCATTAAAAACCAAAACCAAAAGGGAAAAGTGTATACAGCTTTCAAAACAGTTCAAATACGAACAACCACCACCGTGTGAGATCTCGCCTGTCTGTCACCGACACAAATTTTCAGAACTGCTGAAAATCAACTTTAGAAGCATGTGAAATAAAGCTCCACCAGGGGGTGTACAGGGACTGATCTGTTCTAAATTGTATAATTGTAGGGCTTCAGGGCTGGGAGAAACAGGGCTGCATAGATTCCACAAGGATCCTGAGAGTTCCCACTTTTGTATGTTTATTTGTTGGCTTAAAAAGAGTAGCAGGGAGAGAAGAAAGCCCTCAATGTCAACGAATCATCCTGTGTCTGTGGGGAGTCTGCTACAGCCTTCCAAAATCTCTTATGATCTTTCGTTAGGATGGCTGAAAGTAGCGTATGGCAGCATGCCTGATTATATCTTGTCCGGCTGAGCTGGATAGTTTCCCTGAATTGTCGGGATCTGGAGAAGTAAATGTCAGGCAATCAAGAGCTGCCCGTCTCGCTGAACTCTCTATAGATTCTCCTAACCTCAGTTTTAATTGCTATGGTTTCTTTGTCAGTCCAATCGCCAATCCCTCTCATCTTAGGTGGCCTAAACAGGTGCAAATGGGACAGTTCCGTTATTAAAATATCAATAAATTCCTCAAACCGAGTGGCTCCAACAGCAGGGGAAAGTTCACCTTTCTCTACCCGAGGACAAATGGATCACACAACCAGAATTCACCAAACTTTGGAAAAGAGATAGTGTATGCTCGTTAACTCGATTCCTGAGGGGACGGATTAATTGACTGTTCTGTCTTCCTCGATGGAAAGACAAATTTACAATGTAGAGGGATATGGTCACTGAGCATAGGATCACCAATGTAAAACTCAGCCACTTAGGGCGTCATTTTCATGGGTATCATAATATAATCCACCACGCTATTTCCCTGCGGGGAGATAAAGGTGAAATTCCCAGAGCCTTCCCAATCAGTTAGCCCATTGAGCTACGTCAGGGCCCTGGTGGTGGTCAGCTTAGTGAGTCGCAGAACAGCCAGATTAATTACTGGATCCCGGGATCTACGTTCCCAAAAACAGAAGTCTGGGAGAACGGGCTGTGTATAATGCAAGCTTTTGGTTTCATCAAATGAAGCTCTATGGATTCTGACCATCTTAGGCTGTTAGCTATTTCTGCTAGAAATAAGCAAAAAGTAATCACACGTTAAGCAATTGCAAGGATTCGGAGGAGCATCATTAAATCTATTTTCACTTTGCCTTCTTCAGTATGGAAAAGAAAGAGTGATGCGGAAGAGACATATACCGTAATTTCTGTTTCTGCATCTAAATTATGCAGCTTTTCGTCAAGCTGTCAAGACAATAGCAAACAGCTCCACCTGGTGGCTTGGCTTTGCCTGATTTTTTATTTTTTTTAAACTTGTGCTGCATTGCTTACTTGTTCCTTATCTAGAAAACTATTGTTATGTGAAGGTAACTGGAGACTGTGGGGTCTCTGTGACATTTGGTTTTATTTACACACAGATGTAAGCTGAGTTTAAGATGGAAGGGCTCACAGCATTATCCCTCCCTCAGATGCTGGTTACCTGTTAGGTCTGTGGATGTGTAGGCAGGTGGATATTGTCTGATGCCATAGCACTGAATTCTCACAAAGAGCGTAATCATGTGTTTCTGTCTTTTCTACTTCCAATTACCAACCCAACCATCCTTTGTTGCGCACACACAAACACACACCTTGATGACCTCACGTCCAGGTATGGCCTTCCTCACTCAGCCTCCAGCTTTTTAATTTTTATGGAACACTTTGGCCCAGGCGATCTCCTAAACATGGAAAGCTGGGAAAGTCTGGCATTCGGTTTAACTTCCCAAGCCTTGATTAAATTCTAACAGCCGTGGGACCTTGGAATTTAGGGGAGTCTAACACCCACAATCTCATAACAGTATTATTATTATTATTATTATTATTATTATTATTATTATTATATTTCTATCCTGCCCTTTCTGCCAAAAGAGCCCAGGGTGGCAAGCACATCCATAATAAAACATTTTTAAAAGCACTCAATTTAGGATTGCCACGACAACATCTTTCAGCCATCAAATGCCTAGGTAGACAGGATTTCTTTACATTAACTATCCTGAAAGCCAAGAAAGGAAGATACACCTCACCAAGCTAGGCATTCCACAAATGGGGAACTGCTAGTGTAAAAATGGTTTATTTCCTCTCTCTGCCCATCAGTATGCAAACAGTATCACTCTCCAAAAGGCAGTACAGAAAGTTGTGCGGCCCTCCAGGAATGGTAAAGTAAACTGGGTGGCTCAATAGGCAGAGCCTTTTCTGTGGTGGTGCCCTATGGAATTCCCTCCCCAGGCACTTTCCTCTGATGCCAATGTTGTCAGATTCAAAATATCCTTTCCTCCTAAGCCCTTAGATGGCAAATAATAAAAACCTGTTATATTTTAACTGCTGTTTACTGTTGCTGCTCTGTGTTTCTTTTTAGGTCACATTAGGTCATTAGGAGACGCGGGTGGCGCTGTGGATAAAACCTCAGTGCCTAGGACTTGCTGATCGTATGGTCGGCGGTTCGAATCCCCACGGCGGGGTGAGCTCCCGTCGTTCAGTCCCAGCTCCTGCCCACCTAGCAGTTCGAAAGCACTCTTAAGTGCAAGTAGATAAATAGGTACCGCTTTATAGAGGGAAGGTAAACGGCGTTTCCGTGTGCTGCGCTGGTGCTGGCTCGCCAGCTGCAGCTTCGTCACGCTGGCCACGTGATCCGGAAGTGTCTTCGGACGGCGCCGGCTCACGGCCTCTTGAGCGAGATGAGCGCGCAACCCTAGAGTCGGACACGACTGGCCCGTACGGGCAGGGGTACCTTTACCTTTAGGTCAGTTCTAATGTGTGTTTTTGCATTGTTTAAAATAAATAATAAGCCACACCCAAAGCCAATTCTGGAGGAAAGGCAGAATAGAATTTTTAAAATGTAAACAAGTCAATCAGTAATGCTGATTAATTGCTTGAGCACCTGTGCTAGCACACTTTACAGAATAAAAGTAATCCACTGATACTGAGTCTGTCTTGCTTTTAAATGGCAGGATTTCTAAGCCTTTAACTGGTATGTGGACAAGCAGGTGAAACTTTCCCTCATCATGGCTACATCTCCATGTGGCAAGGAGAGGTCATGGAAGGAAGGAAAAGGAAAACAAGGTTTAATTATATTGTAAGCCGCCTTGAGCATGGTTTTTAACTGGGGGAGATGGCATACAAATAAAATGAATGATTGACTGATGTCAGGAAAGGCATTACGTATAGAATTTATGCTGTGGTGCTACCAAAGACACAGAAAGTCAGAGGAAATCCAAGTTTCAGCCTTGGTGTCGCCAGCAGAATATTCTATTCCAAGAAGAGAAAGGTGTTAAAATTGGAAATCAGATATGAAGAGACAATTAAAAACTAAGACTATTTGGAAACAGACCTCAATGATCTGATAGGACTAAAATAGCAGCACCATGGCATTTATGCTAATATTGCTCAGCATAAGTGATTTGAAAAAAAGCTTTTCCTTGCATATAGACGCATATCATTGATGTTTGGCTTATTTTAACTGAATGTTAAGATTTGTTGTGATTATATTTTGATTTGTATGCACCTTTGAGTTGGATTTTTTCGCAGAGTATAAATGTCAAAATATTTATATTTCTCTCTCTCCGTTTTATCTGTTCTATAGAACTTTATGAACGGTCCCTGGGCGCCTTCTTCGTTTCACGCCCAGCTGTGCAATTCCTTCCCGCTCCCTTAACTGTCGAACTCGCGTTTGCGGCGTCTTCTCGCGAGACCCGGAAGCGGCACGAAGGCTTCCCAGAATCCTTCGCCCTTCCTTTTCCCCGGCGGTAGCTGTGGCTGTAAGGTGAGTCTGATGGCGGCTGCTTTGGGCCTGGGCTGGTATCCGCCGCCGCGGGCCTCCATCCCGGCCCGGGCCCCCAAAAGCCCTCCTTAGATGGAGAAGGGAGGCGAATAGCTGTTCGCCCGCCACGGTATTTCCGTTCATTGGGGCGGGGAAGATTGAAATTCGGGCGCCCGGGGTAGGGGCGGTAGGGGGAAAAATGGCCTCTGCAAGCGGCTGGGGATTCTGAAAACCCCGGATGTGGAAGCCTTGCCTTTGGAAATGCAAGTGGGCCGTGGGAGAAACAGATGGGGAGGGAATCAGTTATATAGGTTTTCTGCAAGTAGGCCTCGTATTTTTGGCTCATCCTTGGGTGGGTTAAGTGGGAAGGCAAGATAAACTCAGGGGTTTAAAAATGAGAATTTCATAAGTTGTGTGCCTTTGTTTCTCAATTTGATACTTTTACATGGTCTTGTATGCACTGCGGCTTTTGGTGCATTGTGTCTTGCTGTTATTTTTTATTGATAATAGCTTAGTATTTATTGTAATTGCTACGGGTGATTTTCTGCTTTATTATGGTGCTTAATTTTATTTTGTCCTGTTGTTTCCAATGGGTTATTGAATACGACTTTATATGATGCAAGTTGTTTAACGTTATGGCTTTTTTTGGATCGGATGGTTACAAGGTGCGTGGATTCTGCTGTAGACATTGCTGTTTCTTCAGCTTGTAAACTGCCTTGAGTATAGTAATGTAGAAAGGCAACATACAAATTAAAAGTGAAATGAAAGTTGGGATTCTCCTCTTTGCCAGCCTGAAAGAAAAAAAGGAGCAAGTGTTGCAGATTCATAGGGGAACCACTCCCCCCCCCCCGTGTTTGGGAGGCCACATGGTTGCTTCAAATATGGATGGGCATGTTTTTGAAGGGGTGGTACTGTGGGCTTCTGAAATGCAGCAGGGCCTTTTGCAGTGCAGTCCAGGAACACCATACTTATGTGTAATTTGTCACTGCTTTTGGTGGTGGAGGAAGGCAGCGGAGGGTTATTATTATTTGGGCTACCAGGAGAAAGGATTGCAAGCCATCAAGTGTTGTCCTTTATTGTGCATTTGTTATGTATGTACTTGAAATGGGGCACAATCACTCTTACAGGGCAATAGTATCTCCTTACCTTCTAATAGCACATTATCTTATTTTAATTACACTATAGGGTGGCAAATAGTGGGGGGGGGGATGAACCTTGAATGTGTATGTATTGCAGAAAGGTGGTTAAGTGGTACATAGTTCAAAATTGTTGTAAAAATTGAAGCTGCACTGATGACTATCTTAGGACACCTTTGGATTAAATAATGAAAATACTAACATCTCTCTGAGCAGCTTTTTTCTAACCAGCAATTTGGAGAGTGTGTGTAATTTATGGCTACAATACTGAAAGACATATTTATTTTCCCCCCTCTAGGTAAGCTCTGAAAATGGTCCGCTACTCACTTGATCCGGAGAACCCCACAAAATGTAAGTATTTTTCCTATGGTACGTGCCTCATACTTCAGTGATTACCAAAACTTTCAGAATTACCATTTTTTTATCCCTTCTCCCCACAGCATGCAAGTCAAGGGGGTCCAACCTTCGTGTTCATTTTAAGGTATGTGATATCTTACTTTGACCCCCCCCCAAAAAAATATATTAAAAAAAAAGGAGTGGATGTGGAGTGGACCACACTGTAATTTGATGGAAGCAGAATAATAGATTATGGTGCTTAATCACAAGATCGTCACATCAGATTTTCTAAACATCACCTGGTCATATACACTTTATTGTAAAGCTTGTTGTGCTGCACAAAACAAGCTGTCATTCTCTACCTAACATCCCTCTTTCAAGAATTGGTGGTGTCAGGGCTGCCTCAGGTCCCAGCTCACAAGAGACCAACGCCAAGTCCAGTTTATATACAAAGATGTTTATTGCAGTGCATTGTACGCTTCACAGCCGAGGCGCGCAGCCCCACGTCTGTTACGCTTAGACCGCTGAAGTCCCCTCTGAGTCAGTCCCTCCTCTGCACCACTTTAAGAGGCTTGTGCTGCTCCACCTCTTCCTTTCTTTCCTTTTCCGCAGGGTCTTACTGCCCCCTGGGGTTTTGCCCCTCCTGGATTCCCCTGACGCGGAATCCCCAGACAGCTCTTCCCCCCTCCTGTGTGCTTTGGGACCTGGCTCCTCCTCCGGGCTCCCTGTTCTTCCGTGCGCCTCCACATTTGAACTTGGCGCGCGTTCGCAACCTCTAACCTTCCTCTTGACAGTTACACTACTCCCTGCACTACTCCCCTCCCTTTCCGGGAGGATGTCTTGCTCCGATCTTCCCTCCCTCTCTGCTTTCGGACCTGCTTCCCCTGTCACACTGGAATCTCCACCCCCTTCACTGCGCTCTGGCGGAGAAGCCGGTCCCGACTCCCAGCTCCCACTTTGGGTTCCCCTGCTGGTCCCCTGCTCCTGTCGAGTCCCTCCTGTGACTCCCCTTGGCCTGACCACAGGCGCCCCCTTCTGGGAATCCTCCGATTCACTTGAAAGACTCATGGAATCCCTCAAGTCATTGTCATCCTCTTCCTCGCTGTCCTGGGATTCTTCCCCCTCGCTCTCCGTCTCCTCCCTCACCTGTGCCTCTGTCCCTGAACCCCTGACAGGTGGTAATGGGGACTGTACTGGCTGCTGTGTTGCCTAGGACTAGGTACTCAAACTAGCAAGCCACCCTTCCTGGTTCAAAACTGGTGAGGAACAGGAGAATAATAGGCACAGGGTCCTAGTGACTACAATTTTGGGGTTGGCTGCCAAGGCTAGTCAAATCTCTCTCTCTCTCTCTCTCTGATTTTTAACTGAGTTTTAAACAGAACAGTAAAGCGCTAATAAATCCTGAAACAACAACAAGGTAGCACAAGATTATATAATATATATCAGATGAAGGAAGAGATTACACTTGGTATAGACTCTGTCTTGCGTTGCCTTGGTCAGTAGGTAGAAGGCAGTTCACTTTTGTCAGGAGGGTGCTTTCTGTAATGTCAAATCTTGCAAAGAGAAGAGCATGATGTTACATTAGAATTTTTTTATGGAGTTCTGTAACACACCGTCTGCAAATGAGTTTTCCATTATATATAATGTAATAAATAATATCCAGATAGCTCTTTTATATAAATCTTGTCTTGATCAGATGGCCTGTTAAGAACATCTGAACAATTAGTATGAAATTCTGATACCATCAAAGGGGATTGATGTTTGTTTCAGGGGTGGTGAAATTAATGTAACTGCAGTGATGACCAACTTAGGACACCTTTGGATTCATAATGAAAACAACTAAGTGGCTCTGAGCAGTTACTTCCCTAGTTAAGCTAGAGTTACTATGCAGCGCAGACTCTTATTATACAAACAGTGGCTTGGGGCTATGTCTTAAGTAAATGGCACCATAGTTACAGCCTACATACCTAATGGGGAAATAGCCAATAATGCAATTATTATTTCACCCCTTTAGAACACACGTGAGACTGCCCAGGCTATCAAGGGCATGCACATCCGAAAAGCTACCAAGTACTTGAAGGATGTGACCCTAAAGAAGCAGTGTGTTCCCTTCCGTCGTTACAATGGTGGCGTTGGCAGATGTGCCCAGGTATGGATGGATTTGGAGAAAACTGTTAGCAATTTGAGGAAAACTTTTTGAAAGGCAGTAATTTCATTCAGTAGCGTTTGAGGATATCTGTTGTACAAAGAATATCTTGAACATGAAGGCTGGTGAATATTGATGAACATGCGTGGGGAAGTTCATGTGTTAAAAAACTGAAGCCACAATGAGCTGCGAAGAAGTTTGTCAATGACCAGAAAGCGTGTTCTGTACTTGGTACACAGGGACTACATTGTCCCTCTGCTTCAGCAGATCAATTTCACAGTAACTGGATTACTAACAGTCACTATGCAAGTCCTTTTGGGGGGCAGAAACTGGAAAATTCTAGGAAAATGGATGTGATACATTACTTGGTGTTTATTGAATCCTTATTTTTCAGTTTGCTATGGGGAATTACATACGAGTGCCTTCAAGTTGTTGGATAGAATCACGTTCTCTTATGCTTGCCTGTGGTTGCTGTGATGACTTTCTTAGGACACCTTTGGATTAACTGTGAAAAGAACGTTTGATTCTGAGCAGCCTTCAAAACAAATCACGTTTAGCATTTTTCTTCAAAAGTATACTCATACTGAACTCTCATCTTGCAGGCCAAACAGTGGGGCTGGACACAGGGGCGTTGGCCAAAAAAGAGTGCCGAGTTCCTCCTGCACATGCTTAAAAATGCTGAGAGCAATGCTGAGCTCAAGGTAAAATTTCATGCAGCTTGTCATGCTGGGTTAAGTTTCAGTTCTAGTAGTGATCCAAATATTGAAAAGCAAAGACAAACCTTTGGTTCACTGGGGTTGGTATTGAGGATATGAAGTAGTATTCGGTAAGAGACTAGGGCTATAAGGATTGCTGAAGGTGCAAGATTGGGTTCTTGGGTACAGTTTAATGTTGAATAGACTTTGGTGGCAGTGATGACTATCTTAGGACACCTTTGGAATAACCATGAAACAAACAAGATTCTGAGCCACTGTAACTACTGGGGTTTCTAGTTGACTTTTCAGATGTGGTTTAGGAAAGTTAGTGGTTCCCTTTGAACTAGGTAAACCTATTTTGTTATGGGGTTGTAATGAGAACTTTTTATTCCTCCCCATCCGCAGGGTCTGGATGTAGACTCTCTGGTAATTGAGCACATTCAGGTTAACAAAGCTCCCAAAATGCGCAGGCGAACCTACAGGGCTCATGGTCGCATTAACCCCTACATGAGTTCTCCTTGCCACATTGAGATGATCCTCACAGAGAAGGAGCAAATTGTCCCTAAGCCAGAAGAGGAAGTTGCTCAAAAGAAGAAGGTATGAAACTTTTTAAATAAATAAATGTCTACTCAACTGTATAGATAACCAAAATGACACCAAAATAACTAGAACTTGATTTGAATTTTGGCAAGGTAATTTAAAGAGCGGAAACTTTAAAGAAGTGAACAGGGCTGTCCTATACATGTTAACTCAGATGTGTTCAGATGTATAATTTGTGTTTTAGAGTTGCACTCCAATGGTAATTAGGTCAGTTATTTCAAAGCTGTATTTAATACTATTTTCTGCAAGTATTTACAAAAGAAAATTCTTGTAGTCAGCAAAACTTTATGTGAAAGTCTGTACAGTGATTGCAAATATTGTAAACTGCTATGGAGGATTTAACACAGAAACGAAAAACAGCATATAAGTCTCTTAAATTTAGCTTCTATGTTTATTTTAACTTATTGTCTACCTGTCTGTGGGGCTTGAACATAATTATGAAGTCTGTAATGGAAATAGAATGATAGAAGTGACTTCAATTTTAATGGTCAAGTCAGAGGTAGCCAATGTTGATGTTTTCCAATTTTTTTAGACTCCCAGCTCCTATCAGCCCCAGCCAGCATGGAGAATTGTCTGATGATGGGAGTTGTAGTCCAAAACATCTGGAAGACACAGTGTTTGCTATTGGCTATCTCTAGCATAAGTAGTTACCCCAAATACTGAGTTTTACCAATGGAAATAATGGTCTGTTATTTGCTTTCTGGTAATTCTTCCTGGAGCTGTGCTTGGTAATAGATAAATACATTGCAGTGATTCTTACATAAATAATCTCTGGTGTTAAGTTATGGAAAATATACTGTGTGGTAAGTGTGTTTTCTAATTGGTTTCAGCATTCAGTGAATGTTTTTGGTCAAGTGATACTGATTTCTTTTGTTTTCTCCCCAGATCTCTCAAAAGAAACTGAAGAAGCAGAAACTGATGGCTCGGGAATAAACATCTATTCAGTTCACAAATAAAAAACAAAATTTTAAGTTAACCGCACAAGTTTTTTTATTTATTGTTTTTATCTGCAAATTTAACAAGCAGGAATATTATTTTCCTTTATTATATTTTAATAATTAGGATTATGATAAAACCCCACCACCACCTCACATTAAGGATACAATAACCACCAATACATCCATCTAAAGTTAAGCGTGCAGGTTAATGTAAACCCTCCAGATGTCCAAATAGGTATATTTTGCTTGAAAAATACTGAGCGGAGTGATTATGGCTTCTCTGTCACATCATATATGTTATTTCTCCCATTTGTTCATTAAACCTGGGTTGAAAGTCAAGCATGGCTGATTGCTGTTTAGAAACTGAATACAGTTTCATTTTGTCCTGGTTCTTTACCCATCATCATCATCATCATAGCCACAAATGAACACTTTTGGTAGTATTGATTCAGTCAGTTAATTCTTTGCATGACATACACGGAAAATGTGACTATAAGAGGAGGAGTTGATATACACAAATGTTTTAAAAGATGAAAGTAAGACAGACTGCTGGTTGTGAAAAAGTGCTGTGTGTTGCTAATGTTTTAAGTTAATAAAAGTTTCACTTAAATTTGTTTAGGACGAAGCCCTAAATGATTACTCCTTTCAATAAGTAACCCTAACATGAAAGGCTCAGAAATTACCAAAATTTATATAGCACCATACAGGTAAACAATGAAAAAATAAAATTTGTTTCAGTTATGGCTCTCTAGTCTTGATTAAAGGCTTAAGTTTGCAATAGGATCTTGGGAACAAGCAGCACAATTCTACACACACCACCAGCCCATAAACCAGTTTGGGGGATTTTAGGATGTGGCTTGAGCTGGCCTTGAACCAGCATGCTAACAGAGGGAAAGTTGTGATGCTGTAAAAGGCAAAGAACAAGCAATAGGCATGTTATTTAGGGAAAGGGGTAAAGTTACATTGCATCTTAAGCTTGCTTTATACACTGAGCCCATTGATGGGGCATGGTGTAATATACACACCACCAAAATTGTGAATAAAATGCACCCAGCTGATGAAAGTGTAGAAAGTATCTCCTTCCTCCCCTCTGTGCCCCCCCATTAATAAGGAACAGTTAGACTTGCTCCAGGTTTTTTTGCTTTTTAGTGACTTAGGTTGGGTTTTGAGGGAAGTTAGGGATGTGGCAATTGGAAGGTACCCCCACAGGGTTTTTTAATTAAAAAGTTCTGAATTTTCATTTGACTTTTGTGTCTTTACAACTCATCGAATAGGTTACGTAATTTGTTCCTTACATAAGCTCCAAGCCTCTTTAATAATGTATCACAAGCTCTCTTTATTTTCCATTTTGCACCAAAGCTGCATCTGCCCTTGTACCATGTATTTCCCAGCCTTTCTCCATGACCCGGAAAGCTGAATTTCTGCAACAGCTCTGTTTAAAATAATCTGAAAATAGCCGGTTTGTGATTATATAAAAGCTGCTATGAGCAATGGCTCCCAATATAAAAACATACAATGAAGAGCATGGATATTTCACATACTGTGTCTCTTAAGGATAAGAACTTTACAGAAAGGATATCCTAATACACAGGTGAACCGCCCTAAGACCTGTGGGTATAGAACAGTATATAAATTCAATAATAAATAAATGGCCTATGAAAAACTGCATGTCTTTAATGGTGACAAGACAGGCAGAAATTCAATGCATGAAATGTTTCCCATTGCTACCGTTTGTAATGAGAAGCTGCATTGGTTGATTATCTCTATTTTGCAACTCATAAAATGACGGTATCATGCCCAAAAACGTCTGATCCTATAGCAGCTTAAAGATAGATTCAGTGATGTGACTAATTAGATTTTGAACAGAGCTCTGTTCTGCAACATGCCAACCAATACAACAGCTCTGCTGGAAGAAGTATTACTTGTCATTACTAAGGCAGATTTTATACAAATACAGTCATTCTTTGGGATCACAGAATTACCTTATTTTATTATGAAATTTATATACTGCCCTTCATCTGAGGATCACAGGGTGCTTTACAGTAAAAAACAAAATACATAAGTATAATAAACGAAACAATATCCCTGCCCCCCCCCAGCTTAAAAGGCCATGGACAAGAGGAATGTTTGCCTGGCTCTCAAAGATATTTAAAACTACAAACTCTAAACATCTGGCTGTGCTATCGGAAATAAAAACGTCTTCAGCAAGTGCAGAAAGAAACACAGTGAAGCTGCCTGCCTGATATCAACCGGCAGGGAATTCCAAAGTATCAGTGCTGCCCCAATTCCACTGACCGAGACCCTTCTCCCGCCAGCAATTGTGTTGCGGCATCTTGCATCAACTGCATGCCTGCAAGGGAAACTCAACGGAGAACACATTGCAGTAATCTAGCCCTAATGCAGGCTTCCTCAACCTTGGTCCTCCAGATGTTTTGGGACTACAACTCCTGTGATCCCTAGCTAGCGGGACCAGTGGTCAGGGATGATGGGATTTGTAGTCTCAAAACATCTGGAGGGCCGAGGTTGAGGAATGCAAGGAGCGAGCCCATGATGTGCTGCAGCCAGGCTTTGTCCATGGAGTTTTCTTGGCAGGGATACTGGAGTGGCTTGCCGGTTCCTACTCCAGGTGGGTCACATTTGGGCAAAACTCTCCACTATGACCTGTCCATCTTGGGTGGACCTGCACAGCATAGCTCATAGCTTCTCTGAGTTATTCAAGCCCCTTCACCATGGCAAGGCAGTGATCCATGAAGGGGGGGCGGGGAGAGACATCACCTTGCCAACAAAGGTCCGTATAGTTAAAGCTATGGTTTTCCCAGTAGTGATGTATGGAAGTGAGAGCTGAAGACTGATCGCTGAAGAATTGATGCTTTTGAATTCTGGTGCTGGAGGAGACTCTTGAGAGTCCCATGGACTGCAAGAAGATCAAACCTCTCCATTCTGAAGGAAATCAGCCGTGAGGGCTCACTGGAAGGACAGATCCTGAAGCTGAGGCTCCAAGACTTTGGCCACCTCATGAGAAGAGAAGACTCCCTGGAAAAGACCCTGATGTTGGGAAAGATGGAGGGCACAAGGAAAAGGGGATGACAGAGGACGAGATGGTTGGACAGTGTTCTTGAAGCTACTAACATGAGTTTGACAAAACTGCGGGAGGCAGTGGAAGACAGGAGGACCTGGCGTGCTCTGGTCCAGGGGGTCACAAAGAGTCGGAAACGACTAAACAACAAAAAGCCAGGCTTGCCTGGTCTACAGAGCGTGTTGCAGTAGTAATCCAACCAGCAATACATTGGTACCTCGGGTTACATACGCTTCAGGTTACATACACTTCAGGTTACAGACTCCACTAACCCATAAATAGTGCTTCAGGTTAAGAACTTTGCTTCTGGATGAGAACAGAAATCGTGCCGCGCCGGCGCGGCAGCAGCAGGAGGCCCCATTAGCTAAAGTGGTGCTTCAGGTTAAGAACAGTTTCAGGTTAAGAATGGCCCTCCGGAACGAATTAAGTACTTAACCTGAGGTACCACTGTATAAGGAGAGGGAGGGGGCGGGGCTTCGCGGATAAATAGGGCTTCGGTCACACCCCGCGCTGCCTCTAGTGTCATGGCCTCCTCGGTGGAACGTAAGGAGGGAGCGCACGACGTCAGCGCGCCACGTGCTCTTCCATTGGAGCTTGCGGAGTGACGTCGCGTTCCTTTCCCGGAAGTGAAGAGCTCCCTCGGTCGGCACTCAGTTGGACGTTGGAGATCCGCGCAGGTAGGTCGGTTCGATGTCGGCGCTGGACGCGGCTCTGGCGGGCGGGCAAGGCGGGGAGGAGGCGGCCGCTGGTTTTTCCCTTTCCTGCCTTCCTCTCCTTGCTTCCTTCTCCTCCCTTAAACGTCCCCTTTTTCTTACATCGAAAACAAGAGGCTCTTTTGCATATGCTAATTCACTTATTGATTTTTAATTGGTTGCCTTCAATCGAGTGAGTGCCGTCGTTTCCTCTCTCTTTAAGGACAGGCTATCTATTTTTTAATTAAAAAAAGAAAACAGCGGTAAAAAAAATACAGCGCGAGTGTTGGTTTTTGAATGACCCCTTTCTGTGAAAATACTTAATTGATTGATTTAGTGTTCATATACTGTACAGTGCGCCGCTTGATTGAAAAACAAGAACAACCACAGCTCAAAATGGTTTGCGAAAAAGGTAAAACAAGAAAAATCCAGGGAAATTCGCAGACCGCCTTTGAAAAACAAAGGTTAAAACACCGAAACATTAAAAAAATCAACTCAGCTGTCTAAGCATCTGGGTAGGCTTGTCAAAACAAGAACGTTTTCAGCATAAAAAAAAAAGTGCAGGTAGGGAAAAATGTGTTTATTTGCAGTACCTGAGTACTGTCCAATAACTGCATCCTCTGGGCTTTAAACCATAGGACTTACAAGACATGTTTTCATTTTTATGCAAGCAGACAAATAGTGCTAAGAGAAACAGATGATTAAAAAACTGTCATTTGTGTGTTTTGGCAGATCTGTCCCCAGTCCTGTAAACTAACTTCAGGGTCTTCTGCCTCCACTAAAGTAAAAGCTGTACCTTTGTGTTTGTTTAAGCTTTGAGTTATAAACGTAATAGGTATGTTCTTGGCTGATTTGTCTCTTGTTTATGGATAGCTTCACTAATTCAGGCCGCAGTGTCAGTACCCTATCTGAAAGCGAGTCCCTTTGGACAAAATTGGGACTTAATTTAGAACAAAGCAACATGCATTGAAGGTCATTCTTCTTAACTAAATAAAACAGATATGTCTAGCATTTTGAACAGCAAAATCCTAACCTCACTTACCTGGGAGTAAGCCCCATTTAATTCAGTGGGATTTTTAAAATATGTGATTTTTGTATCATTAGCGAAAACCTGTGGGCAGATCAAACCTACTGAGGTAGGGTGGGGGTTTAGGAAGAATATTTGTTGGAGGAAGCACACCAAATCTAGATTGCTGCTGGGCTTTTTCCTTCCGGAAAACTCGTGATTGGTAAAAAAGTTCAAAGTAGTATTCTGCGGAGTGAACACTTAACCCAAAAGGGCAGAGGGTCTCCCAGAACCCAGCTTCTTGCCCCATTTGGAGAGCAACACCTGTTTGCTTCACTCTAGGAACAGTATTTTTGCTTTATCAATAATATATTATTGTAATTTAGACTATTGGTTTGGAGTTGCCAGCTCTATGAGACAACTTAATGGTAAGCTGCCTGCTAGATGAGCCAACTACTTGCTGTGCCTTCTCTCAGACCTTTTCCTGCTAACTCCTCATTTAATTTGTCCTGAAAAGTTTGCTTTCACAGTAACAAGTTCTGAAATTTCCCTGAGGCTACTGAGCCGGAAATCCTGTTTAAAATCCCATGAGATGAATAGACTGTGCTTAACCTGCGTTCTTCTCATTTTGGCCGTCTACCTGATCCAGTTCTGCAACTGGTCCAGTGGACATCTCAGTGACATCATTGCACAGATCCATCAAAGCTTTCTTTTTAGTTAGCTAATCATTTGCACCATTCCCCCCAGTAGACCCTTCCTCCTTCCCTCCAGCTCATCCCTGAGAGCACCACATTGCAATACTAGGGCCAATTGCTTAGAAAAACAAAACTTTATGGTATCTGGGAGTGTTGGTATAGCTTATAGCTTACTTAGAGAACCTGTGTGGTGTAGTGGTTAAGAGCGGTGGACTCGTAATCTGGTGAACCGGGTTCGCTTCCCCACTCCTCCACATGCAGCTGCTGGGTGACCTTGGGCTAGTCACACTTCTCTGAAGTCTCTCAGCCTCACTCACCTCACAGAGTGTTTGTTGTGGGGGAGGAAGGGAAAGGAGAATGTTAGCCGCTTTGAGACTCCTTCAGGTGATAAAGCAGGATATCAAATCCAAACTCTTCTCTTCTTCTTATGTAGCCGCACTCACATCAGTTCTTGCTGATTGTCTGTTAAGAATAGTAGGCAGAAAGAGGTTTTGGTGTGTTGCTGTTCATTTTGCAGCAGCTGGATTTTTCAGAATTGCCTTACAGATAACTTCCAAAATTTCTAGTGTCCCAGCTGCTTTTGTCATTTAAGGCTGTAACTGTTTTCCTATCCAAACTGAGACTGACATGTAACTTGAAGGACTGTTCAAGGTACTGTTCTGAATTAGATTTACACTGTCCAATTGGTACAGCATATATATTGATTTGCACACACTCCCAGATCCATTTATTTTCATACGAAAAAAAAGCCCTGTGTTTTGCTTTCCTATTTGTTCCCCACCGTTCTTTACTGCCTGCTAACAAAACCGAACTGCCGGGAAAAGAGAAAGCAGTATTTACGGACTCGTCGTTCCATGCCAAATTGTGTTGATTGTGCAGTTCTGTACTTTGTTTGTTTGCTTGGAAGTATGTCCCACTGAGTTGAGTGTGCACAGGACTGAATGTGCACAGAACTGGAGTTTTAAGCTCCTTGCAAGGTGCAGAGGCCACTGAATATGTTTCCCAATTGCTAATTTTTTTCCCCTTCTGTGTTTAAGCCTTCCAGCACATTTCTGCCGCAGGACCTGAAAAGAACAATGGTGTGCATTCCCTGTATAGTCATTCCCGTTCTGCTGTGGGTCTATAAAAGGTTCCTTGAGCCGTATCTGTATCCCATCATCTCACCTTTCATCAAGCGCATTTGGCCAAAGAGAGCAGTGCAGGAAACAGCAAAGAAAGACCAAAAAGGCAGTGCTGAAAATAGGCGTGAGTTGTACGACTCCATGGATGATTCTAAAGTAAGCATTGGCAAAACTCTGTATATGTGTTGTGTGTGTACACCATATGAAGGACAAGTTGATCATGTGGTTCTGCTAGTTGAAAGCATTTCTAGGACACCAGTTTCTAGGATGCTTCATTCTAGATTGTACAGCAGAAACAGCTGCTGATCTGTTTTCCATACCACAGCTGTAGCCATGCATTCCCTGGAGAGAACTTCTGTGTCCCAGAACAGTAATGGAAAGTAAATATACCATTCATTTTGAAGTTAAAACTTGCTGTCTCGGTCAAAATTAAAAACTTGTAGCCTCAAAGGTTCTAATGTTTTGAACATGTAAACAGGTAAAGGACCCCTGACAGTTAAGTCCAGTTGCGAACGACTCTGGGGTTGTGGCACTCATCTTGGTTTACTGACCGAGGGAGCTGATGTTTGTCCACAGACAGTTTTTCCGGGTCATGTGGCCAGCATGACTAAGCCGCTTCTGGGGAAACCAGAGCAGCGCACGGAAATGCCGTTTACCTTCCCGCCAGGGTGGTACCTATTTATCTACTTGCACTTTGACGTGCTTTCGAACTGCTAGGTTGGCAGGAACTGAAACAGCAACGGGAGCACACCCCGTCGCAGGGATTCGAACCGCCGACCTTCTGATCGGCAAGCCCTAGGCTCAGTGGCTTTAGACCACAGCGCCACCCGCGTCCCTCTGAACATGTATTTAAATGTATTTTCTCTCTGTGTGTGTTTCAGACTGAAAGCAACGGCATTGTAAATGGATTTGCTGAAAGTGGTCCACCAGGGGTTTCTGAGAAAAAGACTGATTAAGTAAGCTTGTGCTGTGGGATCGTGGTTGCTTTAGGAAAATGAGCTGATGATGCTATTCCCACTTGGAAATTTAATTGCACTTTTTTTCTGAAAGGAAACTTGGAATCTGCATACACACAGGCGGACACCTAGGAAAATTTAGGATGCTATTTTCTTTGTAGCTGAAAAAGATTTAACATGTTGTCTTGCTCTGCCTGACATTCTCAGTACAGGAGAACCTTTTCCAATGCAGTGCAGTTTATGGTGTTAGCATTTTAGGCTCCAGTTTTTTACACTGCTGTGTAACTGTCAAAATTGTGACTTGTTTCAAAGAACTTCCTGGAACTCAACTTCCACACAACTTCTTATATGCTTGTCTTTTAAAAGCTAGTTGACTTATGTATTATAGCTAAAGAGAACAGCACTGTAAATACTCAGACACTAATAATAAATATTAATAGCTGTTCACTCATTTTTCTCAACCCATCCATGCAAAACTATGCGTTGTTTGGCATTCCTCCTGATATTGCAGATACGATGAAGCAAACTTTGTGTGAGTAGACACGATCATAGGGGCGGTAGCCCTGATATGGGAAATATAATAGTATTCCCTGCCATTAATTAAGACCAGGCAATTTGCCCTTATTTCTGAAGGTGGAAAAAGAATGTTTTTCTTAAAATAATAACAATATAAAAATAGATCTGTGTGCAAACTGCTGTATTTTGGTTGGCAACATTGACATTGGATTCAGAATTACTCTAAATAAAATCTAAAGGTTTTGCTTTTACAACTGAAGGCTGGCATTCTTAATAAAACATGTTTTCTATGCTCATGGATCTAGTTTTGCCCTTCTGTTCTTAGAGTTGTGTGAATGGGAGATCGGGGACTTAATGACCCAAGTCAAGAGAACCAAAGAGTCGCATTGCAACTACAATGCAACATAAAAATAAAAACAGAAATAGTTATATTACTGGGGGGGGGCAGAAAGGGGCAGGCAAGATGGGCTTTAGATGACTTCTCCTTAAGTGGCTCCTGCAAAAGGCCATATGGGTGTTCCTCTTGAGTCTGGCAGACATGGGCTCAAATCCTAATTCAGCCCTGAATCCATAAATCAGGGTTGAGTAACCTTTGTCCTGCCATATGTTGTTGGACTGAAATTCCCATCATACCTGACCATTGGCCATGTTTGGTAGAGCTGATGGGAGCCGTGGTCCAACAACATCTGGAGCAACATAGGTTTCCCATCCCTGCTGTAATGGGTAAGGTTGGCATCAGCAGAGAAACAGTATGTTCACTGTTGCTGATTTCCTCCACGATGCAGAGTTGTCCAAGAGGGTGTTAGGTGTGTTCTGGAGCCTGTGTTTGAGTTACGTGAAATACAATGGTACCTCGTGTTACAGACACTTCAGGTTACAGACTCTGCTAACCCAGAAATAGTACCTCGGGTTAAGAACTTTGCTTCAGGATGAGAACAGAAATTGCATGGCGGCGGCACGGTGGCAGTGGGAGGCCTCATTAGCTAAAGTGGTACCTCAGGTTACGAACAGTTTCAGGTTAAGAACGGACCTCCAGAACGAATTAAGTTCTTAACCCGAGGTACCACTTTAATAGCAATGGTAGAATAGTCCTGGGCATGGAGTTGAGAAGGGTTTTTAGAACATGTTCCAGATTTCTCTGCAGTGTGTAGAAATTTCTCAGCAGACTGAAGTGGAAAGGAGGTATTGGAATCTATTTTGCTCCCTGCGTTGGGTATTAAGGAGATGAGGGTTGAAGCCCTTTGCCCAGTAAGGAGGTAATAGTTATTCAGTTTTTGCACGAGTCAGTAGGTTCAGAATTGGAGTCTTAAGTTCTGCAAGTAAAAACCTTCCTTTCTCTTTTGTAAAATTGGTTTCCTTTATGCAACCAAATTAAGCCCTCAATATAGGTTACCAAAAAGGTTAGGAGGGACAGTATTGGGACTACATTACACAGCTCTGGCTGGACAGTTCTTTCAACCTGTATTTATGTGATTTGCTGTAAGCACAAATGAGAGTTTAGTAGGCCCTTCGAATAGGGATTGAGAGATGGCAGGCAAAATAGCCATGTGAGAGTTTGATAACTTGTCACATGCACACTATAGCCCATGCTGGAATTGAAAAAGTGTTTGGTCTCATACAGGGGTTGAGTAAAATGGAACTCTGAGACCCAGGAAGGAATGAGAAGGTCTTCAGAGTATATGCGCAAGTCAAAGATGTTCTAACATAATTCCACATAGCTTCCATACTGGAGAAGGAGGTGGGCTTTTGGGGGGGGGTGTATGTGTGTGTTGAATCAGCCTCTGAAGGTGGCAACTGGACCTCTGAAGCACCTGCAAGCTCAGATTGTGAAGTGGGGAGCCTTCCAACAAAAAGTTCTTCCATGAAGTGAGATCATATTGGATCCAAGTAACAACCAGGGGGAAGGGGAGAGATCAAAGGCCTGTGTGGAAATGAAAGGAAGGCCTGAGCTTTCCCAGTGCCTGGAGTAGCAAGTGCAGGTCTCATTTAAATCTCCATTCAGACCACGATCTGGATACTTGGGCTGCAATTCTCAAACATGGTATTTATTAAAACTTGCATATCCCACCTTTTGTGCCATAAGCGCTCCAAGGTGGCTAATGAGCATAACGATTCAAGCATACGATCCAAGAGAGTCAAATAAGCAACAGAACAACACTGAAAGCAGCAAGGAGAAGGTCAGCATCACAGCTAAAAAGATAGAGGTCTGTTCCTTACTCCGAGGGTTTCAGAAGGTCAAGCAACAACACTGTCTGCCTGGTGCCAGAAGTTTTGACAGAAAAGGGCTGGAAGAAGTATCCTTGGGAAACAGAATTCAGCTGGTAAGAGTGTTACTGCCATTTCTGGACTGTGATAGTCTGCCCAATGTCATTCAAGTGCTGGTGACTTCGAGATTACTGCAATAAGTCACCTGGAAACTGCAGGTAGTGTAAAATGTGGCAGCTTGGCTACTATGCTATGTTATGGTACTGCTGAAAGAATTGTACATGCTGCCAGTTGACTACTGGGTTCAGCTCACAGTGCTAGTACTGGTGCATGAAGTCCTACTAGAGTTGGGGCCAGGACAGCTAAAAGAACATCTCGCCCTTTATATACCCAACATATCACTGTACTTAGCAAAGATGGACCTTCTGATCAAGAGGTCTATTCCGTACAATGTTGGAATTGGACCTTTACTGTGGTGGCCCCTCTGCTTTGGAACTCCTTCCTGTTCCTGCATATCAGGCGCTGCCTCTCTTGTCTTTTTCAGTGCCTTTTCTCTTTCACCAAACCTACGAAGGTTAGATCTTTATCTCGGTGTCAGCCTTGGATTTGAAATTGTGTGTGTGTGTCTGTGTGTGGTTGTTTTACATATGTTTTTGTGATACAGTCAAACCCCAGCTCCTGAATGCCTCCGTTTCGGAACGTTTTGGTTTCTGAACACCGAAAACCCAGAAGTAAATGCTCTGATTTTTGAACATTTTTTGGAAGCCAAACATCCGACGCGGCTTCCGCTTGAGTGCAGGAAGCTTCTGCAAACAATCAGAAGCCGTGCCTCAGTTGTCGAACATATTGGAAGCAGAACGGGCTTCTGGAACGGATTAAGTTTGACAACTGAAATTTGACTGTATTGTGAAATGCTTCATGGGAAAGGATTCATAAATAGCAATAGTATTAATACTATGCTTAGGATCAGTTACTGAAACTACCATCATGAAACTAACCTTTGCTCATAAGCAAGAATCTCAGAATTTGTTTGTTGTTTAGTATTCTCAACTTCAGAGATGGGGGACAGTGTGGACAGATGCATCCTTTTATAATAGGACTGGCATGAGAAGTAATATTGAGAGTATAGTTTTTAATTAAGTCTAGTTGATGCAATTGCCTTTTTGTGTAGACTTGGCACATTGTCAACATTTTGTTACAAACTGGTAGCAGCAGTAGCACGTTCTTCACAAACCGCAGCTGCTGTTTTTCTTTCCTTTTTGTATACATTTGCATACGATTAAAATTTGACTACTTTAATGTTTAGAATAGTTCTGTTTCCACCCAAAGGCTATTTTGATTATCTCATAAAAAAGGAGGGCAGAATTATTCATGCCTTGGTTTAATTTAATTTTCCCTTAATGTAGCCATTTGAATTAATGGAAACTTGATAAAATTGTAAGATGCAGGGTAAAAGGCACTGATTAAGTATGTTGAAGCTCAGAACAAAGTACTACACTTAATAAGGCTTTTGATCTATCTTGACACTTAAATTCAGGCCTTTCAGACTCCGCTACAGAAAATTACAAAAACTAAGTCTAGAATGGACTACAAGATTCCTGTGTGTGGAAACTTCTGTATGTGCATTAGATCACATCATTGATCTAAAAATAAATGCTAAATAGTGTTGAAAACAGAATTTAATAAGGGGGTTCTGTTGTTACCCATACTTCGGATGTTTCCTTTATGGTGCAGAGGAACCCAAGTTTGCAGATTCCTTCTAGTCATCATGACACACCAACTAAATCTTGTAAGTTAGCACCTGTGTGTCTCAAAAGCTAGGATTGTCTGCAGTGCAGAGGCCCATCCTACTACATCTTTTCCTGAAAGTAAATCTCACTATGATGTTCATTTGAATATATTGTACATGAAAAATCCAGGATAAAAGCCACTGCACCCCACTGCCACCAAGAAGTCGCTCAAGAATCATACAAATATAGAAGCTCACAGAAAAACCATTATCAAAGTAAATAAGTAGAAACCATAAGATTGCCACTTAACAGGAACCCAAACATCTGGCAGCGTACAAAAAACCAGGAAGAAATGGCACAGGGGTGGCATCATTGTGGCGGTATATTTCCCATCAGGGAAAAAGGTGAGGTATAAATAAATATTTTATTTACTTTATTATAATTATAATTTATTATATTTTATTTTATTTAAATAAATAATTTTTTTATTTATTTAACAACATCTATACGCTCCTTTATTGTAAAAAGCAACGACCATCAAAGCGGCTTACAAAAAGATAAAAACGGGGGGCAGGGAAACAATACGCTAGAGCCTGACAAATTGTAAAAAATACTGAAACGGATTAAAATTCACACCAGCATTTCTAAGCAAACAAGCACGCCTTTCGCAGGCTATCAAAACAAAACAGCGGAAGTGCCCGCTTGATATATCAAGAGGCAGGGAGTTCCACAGCGTAGTTGGCAGCCGCAGCATCCCCTCCTAGAGTGGCCTGCGTAGAGTCCGTCTTCGGGTTGGGACTACATCTCCCAGCATACACTTCGGTCGCCTCAAAGCCCGCTTTCGCTTCTTCTCCGCTTTGCAAAATGAAGCGGGGGGGCGTGGCAAGCGCACGTGACCGATTCCGTCCCCGCCCCCCCGCTTCTCTCAGGCGACGGCTGCGACGACGTGGAAAGATGGAGGCGGTTTGAGTTCCGAGCGGCTGACTGACTGAAAGGTTCGCTCGCGGGCGCGCGCCCGACCGCGTACGTAGCCCGCCCCCTCCCACAAATGTAGAAGAGGCGGGGCCGCGCTTTCTCTCTCCCCCCCTCACGCGAGCGAGCCGCGGAGGCGCGCGAGCAAAAGAGTCCCTGAGGAGAATCCCGCGGGGCGCCGCCGGAGGGGAGCGTCAGTTTCCGTTCCCGCACTCCCCCTACCGACCCAGCCCACCCCTTTCTCGGAGCCCGGTGAGTCGCGGCCGCCTCCTCCTCCCTCAGCTTCATGCAGGGCTCCCCTGCTTAGCATCCCCTCTCTGAGGCCGGGAGGGACCGGAGGACAGCCCTTCGTGTGTCGCAGGGATGAGGGGAGGGGCCCCTTTTTGTAGCCATGACAGTTGGTGGGGAGGTCAGGTGAGTTTGGGGGCACGAGGGGTCAGGGGGGGGAGGGGAGAGAGGTGGCTTGTTTATATAGTTATATGCTGCTCTATAGATAGACATTTGCCTCTACAGTGGATCCCAACCTTTTTGGGGGGCTGTACCCCACCTAAGCGTGGGACGTGGGTGGCGCTGTGGGTAAAAGCCTCAGCGCCTAGGGCTTGCCGATCGAAAGGTCGGCGGTTCGAATCCCCACAGCGGGGTGCGCTCCCGTTGCTCGGTCCCAGCGCCTGCCAACCTAGCAGTTCAAAAGCACCCCCGGGTGCAAGTAGATAAATAGGGACCGCTTACCAGCGGGAAGGTAAACGGCGTTCCGTGTGCTGCGCTGGCTCGCCAGATGCAGCTTGTCACGCTGGCCACGTGACCCGGAAGTGTCTTCGGACAGCGCTGGCCCCCGGCCTATAGAGTGAGATGGGCGCACAACCCTAGAGTCTGTCAAGACTGGCCCGTACGGGCAGGGGTACCTTTACCTTTACCTTACCCCACCTAAGCATCTCTAAAATCCTGGTCCCCACCTCCAGTGCCAAATTTACATATAAGCTAAAATAAGCTGTAGCTTAGGCCCCCACACTCTTGAGGGCCCCAGAAAAAATTAACGGGGGAAAAAGGTGTTTCTAAAGGAACTTTTGTTATTGCCAAATGTCAATGTGTTTGCATTATTAACAAAATAATAATAACATTTTATTTATATCCTGCACTCCCCAGCCAAAGCCAGGCTCAGAGAGGTTAACAACAATAAAATGATACAACATTCTAAAATCATTTCATTATAAAGTTTGTTATGAATAAAAAATCATTTTAAGTTAGAGCTTAATAATTATTTCGTTATTAATATACTTCTTAATTGCATTTCACTGTTAATATACTTCTTCTTAATTGTATTTCAGTTCAACAATTACTTTGATAAAATACATATTTTTTTATGTGCAAATGGCTTTAGATACCTATTAGGTCCATAAAATAAATGACCATATAGCATATATTCAACCCACAAAACAGTGACAATTTGTTGTTGACAAAAGACAGCTGGACATATAAAGGGCCCCATTACCTTCAGTAGCTTAGGGCCTTATCAAATCTAAATCCGGCCCTGATGGCCCCTCCTCTGTGACATACAATTCTTATTATTCAAAAAGTGAGCTCCTATTCACGTGGAGGAAGCCTAAGAAGCCATTAACTGATACTAAATCATTCTCGAATTGCCCCCACCCCCAAAATCAAACTGCCCCACATTGGGAAACACGGCTCTCTACAGGAAGTGTTGAAGCTACCAGTAATTTAAATAAGAAGAAGAAATGCACAGTTGAAAATGAGCAATTCAACATTTAAAGGCTGGAAACATGCCTGCAACTGCATGCCTAAAGAAGGCTGTTGTTTTAAGGGATAGCTCGGTCGATAAAGCACGGGGCTCTGTCGCTCTGAATCTCAGGATTGTGGGTCGAGCCCCATGTTGGGCAAAATATTCCTGCACTGAAGGGGGTTGGACTAGATGACACTCATGGTCCCTCCAAACTCTACAACAGGTGTGGATTTAGGGCAGCGTGACTGGTTCTGCCGTCGCACTGAGTGCTGAGCCTAGCGGGTGCTGCCAGGTATCGCAACTATTGACATAGTGAATTGAGAGGCAGGGGAATGCTGAGTTTTTGACTCTCATAAAAAGGTAAAGGTAAAGGTACCCCTGCCCATACGGGCCAGTCTTGCCAGACTCTGGGGTTGTGCGCCCATCTCACTCAAGAGGCCGGGGGCCAGCGCTGTCCGAAGACACTTCCGGGTCACGTGGCCAGCGTGACATCGCTGCTCTGGCGAGCCAGAGCCGCACACGGAAACGCCGTTTACCTTCCCGCTAGAAAGCTGTCCCTATTTATCTACTTGCACCAGGGGGTGCTTTCGAACTGCTAGGTTGGCAGGCGCTGGGACCGAGCGACGGGAGCGCACCCCGCCGCGGGATTTGAACCGCCGACCTTTCGATCGGCAAGCCCTAGGCGCTGAGGCTTTTACCCACAGCGCCACCCGCGTCCCTAATTTGACTCTCATAGGACGCTGCTGAAATTTGAAAGACCAAAGCCCATCCCTGTCTACAATTTCTATGGATTGGTGCTGAGGAATCATAGAATTGTAGAGTTGGAAGGGACCACTAGGATCATCTAGTCCAACCCCCCTGCAATGCAGGAATTTTTTGAACCCACGGCCCTGAGATTAAGAGTCTCATGCTCTACCAACTAAGCTATCCCAGAACTTCTGATGGCGGTGATGGCTAGGGGATACCCAACTCAAGAAGGGGAACTGGATAAGTTTCCCCTGCACACACAGATGTTTCTCTCACACACTGATAGTCTTATGCAGGCTTACTCAGGAGTTAGGTCCTCCAGTGTTAAGTGAGTCTAGCTCTTGGGTAAATGTGCACCGGCTTGTGTCCTGTGTTAATCTAGAGTAAATTACCCCCTTAGTTTTGTAGTCTTTTGTAAGAAGAAGTACCTGTTTTTCTAACCACTCTTATTGTAAATATAACAAGGTGGTTAAATAGACTATATCTGTACTACCTGCGGGCGCGGGTGGCACTGTGGTTTAAAGACTCAGCGCCTAGGACTTGCTGATCAAAAGGTCGGCGGTTCGAATCCCCGCGGCGGGGTGCGCTCCCGTCGTTCGGTCCCAGCGCCTGCCAACCTAGCAGTTCGAAAGCACCTTCGGGTGCAAGTAGATAAATAGGGACCGCTTACCAGCGTGAAGGTAAACGGCGTTCCGTGTGCTGCGCTGGCTCGCCAGATGCAGCTTCGTCACGCTGGCCACATGACCCGGAAGTGTCTGCGGACAGCACTGGCTCCCGGCCTATAGAGTGAGATGAGCGCACAACCCTAGAGTCTGGCAAGACTGGCCCGTACGGGCAGGGGTACCTTTACCTTTACCTGTACTACCTGCAATTGAGGCATCCATCTGGGTAGCTAGAGCATTTTTTTTTAAAAAAAATATTCCCTTTGTCAGCTTTAACATGTATATGAGCAAGGTGAGTGGTGGGTTAATTAATAGGGAGTGCAGTCAGTTCGTTTGCTTTTTTAAAGTATACCTCATTTCTTTCACCGTGAAGGGCAAGCATAAATGGTGTTCTTAGGTGGTTGCCCATCCAGGCACTAGCTAAACTGCAGAGTGCAGACCTAGCGGTTCAAAAGCACACCAGGTGCTCTGTCGGGAAGGTAAACGGCGTTTCTGTGTGCTCTGGCTTCCGTCACGGTGTTCCGTTGCACCTGAAGCGGTTTAGTCATGCTGACCACATGACTCGGACAACTGGCCACATGCTGGCTCCCTCGGCCTGAAAGTGAGATGAGTGCCGCACTCCATAGTCGCATTTAACCGTCCAGACAGAAACCTGTTTTGCTTCATCAAGGTATCTCCTTCAGGTACCTTCTGACCATACCTTGGGTGTTTCCTTGATTATGCCTGGCAGTAAATTTTGAACTTGCCAGTGCTGAATTTCAAAGATAAATTCCTGTAAGTAAGAGCATATATGCAGGGCATGGTACTGTGATCTAGCATAATTGTAGAAACGTTTATGAGGCAGAGAAAATGGGGCTGATAGCAAACTGCTTTCTTTTGAAAGTTAATGGTATCAATGATAGTTGGTTCATTGCTAAATCTGTAGTCTGAGTAAGGTAGGGAGTGTGGACCTAGGGGTAAACCCTATTGAGGTGTGCTGGTGCCAAATATGATGAAGTTTGCCAGTTTTTCAAATGCTGCTTCCTCATCACAATATGCAGTTAAATGGAAAAGCATCAGTCTGGAGATGGAGGCTGGTATAACAACTCCTAAAATAGAATAACTGCTATTGGGATCATAATCTTGATTTATGGTAATTTCTCTCACGCATCCCACTTGCAGATGAAAATAGACCTTCATGACATTGTGTTCCTTAGACATGGGTGTGCAAAACCTAGTTTCCAATCCTAGTTGTAGAAAGGTTTGCTTAACTGCAGTTAACATTGCTACCAGCGTAAAGTTTAACCATGATTAGGTTTAGACCATGTCTAAAAATATTGTAACATTTCAGGTTATTCTATTTTCACCTAGGTGTGTTGATGTGAAGGGCAATGGGTGTAGAAGTGCTAATCACATAACAACACTCCTTAGTATTTCCTTGCCTGAGTAAGATACATCTCATTCTGTGGTCTGCTTGGGTTATGACCTGTGTTCCAGCTATCTTATTTTACAGCTTCTGTTCCAGATAATCTTACAGAGCCATCATACTGATAAGAACAGACCGTTACTTACTGTGACTCTAAAAGTGAATGGATTCAGAGTGGTGTTCTAGAGAGCACTGTTCATGTTAAAGTTCTGTTGTCTATAGTGTGCTTGATATGACAGAAGAAGAGACTGCAAGACACATTTGCAGCGACGTTTGGTCTTGGAGCTTAGGTTCTTGACCTTGGGCCAGACTTAGTCTCTCAACATCACCTATTTACTAGGACAGTTGTGAGAATGTGTGCAAAATATTCCACCATATATATTCCCCTGAGTATCCAGTAGGAAGGGCATTTTGTAAACATGGTAAATTATGAGAGAGAAACTATGACCATTCTATACAAAGTTCTTGAATTTCCAGCACCACCACAGTAGAAAAGTTCCAGTTATGGTGATACAGTTGTTATTGGATTTGGGATTTCAGTGCTTTGTAGACAATGAACACATTGTGAGTTGTGTATATGGAATGGTCATTGTACGCAGCCTGTACACTAAGTAAGGAGCATCAAAATTTACCTACTGTTTTAGAACTGGTGTATACTGGGGTGAATGTCCACTGCAAACTGTATTATTTGCCTCAGTCTTTCCTTCCTGGTGGGTGGTTATTCTGAGATTTTGCACTTGAGCTTGTATTTGCTTCTTTCAGAATGTTTACTACGCCAGTGCTTGTCCCCACAGTGTTTCCTCAGAGACTTAAGCAGTGTTAGAAACTCAGATGTGTAAGCTAATCAGCAAATGGCATCTTA